GTTGATTTTTATTTTTCGCTATATGGACAATTTAAAACATCTTCAGCGACAACATCTGTGACACATTGATTCAGGATTTTCTACCAAAAGCGAAAACCTGTGGCATAAATCATAATAGTATATTCATGGACAGCCTGGAAGTTGAAGTAGCAGCAGTGGTTCCGCACCAAACCACGTCACAACCCAACCCAACCCCTTCGTGTCTTAAAAATGACCACAACTGCCAGAGCACAAATCAAGCGTGAACGGGCGATAACGACGACACTCGAGGAGATTCCGTAAAAAAAGAGAAGATTTTAACACATTATGGTAGGCCTACACCACGTCTGGAACAAACTATCGAATGCAAAGTTTCAAAACTGAGAACACAATACTGTATTTCGAGATTTAGGCTCCTCTTGATTATATAATTTTAGCTAATTAATCAGTCAAACGGGTTACGGTAAAACGTTTCTTAAAAAAGAACTAAAGTTGATTTAAAAAAAGTCCACAGAAACACACGTCTTCACTGAATAAATCGCCACTACAATCAAACACAATGTCCGAATCACGTGTATACTTCTTATCCTACACAATATCAACCATCTCGAAAAGAACACGCGCACGCACGCGCAGATACACGCTCACAACACGCGCACGCACGCATACAGCACAGGGCGACGATTTCCCCGGAGGAATCCAGCTCAGCAGCAAATGGCCCCCCAACACACGTGGACGAGGTGGTGGAGGAGGAAGAGGGAGGGGGACAAGGGATCCCCCCCGGTAAACAGCAGAATCAAGCCGGAGTAGAAGAAGCACACACTGGGAAAGGGAGAGAACTCTCTACCGTCGCCGTCGTAGTGGCGCGCGCACACCGATACTGGAGCCAAAAGCAAGAGCCACAGCCGGATGAATTTTTCATGCTCAGTCTTATTCGACAGGACTCTGAGTGGCTATCATACAGTGGGAGAGAAGGCGGATGCCATGGTAGACCACTGGATTGTCTAACGGGAAAATCGATACGTACGAGTGGTTTAGGGAGGGTGGGAAGAAGGGAGGGGGTGTGGGTAGGTGCCACACCCCCACCCACCCAACGCCGCCGGCGTTACAATTGATTCATCAACACCCACCACCAATGTATAGTGAGTGATGTGGTCGCAATGACAATCCCTCATACACGCAGAGAGAGAGAGAGAGAGAGAGAGAGAGAGAGAGAGAGAGAGAGAGAGAGAGAGAGAGAGAGAGGGGAGAGAGGCAGGGGAGATGAGGGGAGGTAGGAGGATACACCCATCCACATACACGCACACACACAAACACACACATACAAACACACACACTCACACACACACATCAACACACCCATACACACACCTACAAACACACACACACAAACACACAACACATCTATATACACATACACCTACAAACCGACACACACGCACACACACA